GTCTGCCACAGTTACCAGGATCCCTGGCCCCATGTCGTACACGATGCTAACGGATGGGGGGCAATGCTGGCGCTGCCACTGCGACCAGATACGGCAATGATTCCTGGGGGAAAACCAGGAGGAGGACAGGTCAGAGGAGTCCCAAGGGAACAGTGGGGCAGTGAGGCCCATAGAGGAGGCGGGGCCAGCAGGTGAGGCAGAATCAGTAAGTACAGAGATGACCTGCGAGGCTGAAAGGACACCAGAACCAGAGCCACGACTGAGTGAGCTGGTTGAGCCAGACCAAACAGCCCCATCACAGCCAGCATCCTCGGACCCCAGACCAGTGAACACCCCAGGCCGCAACGCACACATAGGCGGCTGGCGTACCTTGAGGACTATGAATGCGACCTCCCAGGCAGGACTGGAACTTAGAGGGGAGGGGTGTTGAATAGGGTCCAAAATGCAGCAGTCTGATTGGTCCTAGAACAATGCAGCAGTATGATTGGTCCGCAGGAGCCACCCAATCCAGCTCCAGGTGGAAGTGAATCCACAACCTGATTGGCCTACAGAATTCTGGAATTAGCCAATCACGTGAAGCCCATTGTGTAAATAATGCATATAAAGCAGATATTTTGGGGGAACATTCATTCCTCCTCACCACTATGAGCTGAATAAAGAGCATGAAATCCACTCTCGACTCCCGAGTATATTTCACTGGTGACGAAGGTGGGATCCCGCTGAGCTGACCGCCACACACAGCACCGCAGCACCGCCACCTGCCGCACCGCTGCCTCGCACCGTGTATCCAGGCTTCAGCTCCGGGACCCAAGGAACTCAGAATGGCAACCGACAGCAGCTTCTCGCCATTCAACCCAGCATCTGGAGACTGGGAAGCGTACGCCTCCCGTTTCACCTTCCTCCTAGAAGCCAAAGGCGTCACCAATGACGCAAAGAAGAGGGGAATATTCTTCAGCGTCTGCGGAGAGGAGGCATATTTCAGCATGGAATAATGACTCAAGACAACGTGTTATGGGATTAAAATTTGGCCACAACTGTATTAAAACTTCAGATGTAGGGAGAACTTGGCTTAGGCATTGGGCGTTTCTCCCTCCCAGTTCCCGGCCAGGGATCTGGGGAACATCAGGGTTATTCAGAATGGTTAAAACCAGGGTTATCCAGAATGTGTGGGGATTGGGCTGGCTCTGGAGGACGTCTGTTCAAGCAGAGAGCCTTCCCCCCATTTTGCTAATGACAACCTAATGGCATATGGCCAATGCCTCCCCTCAAAACAACCCCTTTAATGGGGAACCCTGGGATCGCCGCTGCAGGGGGGGCATGAGTCACCACTTCAGCCCCCCCCCCCAATTTAGGGAAGATAGACTAAAGGATTCCGCCCAAGGCCTGAAACCGCCTAAATTGTGACGTTTTGCTATGGGGAAGACAAAACCTGCCAATGCAGGAAAAATCATTTCCGGCCCTTCAACAGCAACCATAAGGTAGCAGCGCCCGTGTACCTGTGAAGAAGAGGTTAACCTGCAAAAGAAAACTTAACTGAGGGAGGGCAGGGTGGGAGAAGCTCTGAAGTCAACTGAGAACTCCCAGGTAAGTTCTGCCCACTATTGTGTGAGCTGGGCGATCCTTCCCCTTACCTGGCCAACTCTCTCCTGGCAACACCTCCCCAGCTGGGATTGGGTAACTGACAGAGGTAGGTGGCTACCTTCAGGTGTCTAGCCTGGAGGGGGGGGGGATCCAGGCTGTAGTGCCAGAAGCTGCATGGGATGGGGCTGCACGTGACCATGCACAAGGCGCCCCCTGTTTGACGTGGGGAGTGGTTATTCTCTTCCTCTGTGTGTTTGCGTTTGCATGTGCATGTGTGCACACAACGAAGGAATGTACCTCCTGCATCTCCCCACCCCACACCTGTCAAGCATCCCTTATTTGGCGGGATAGTCCCTTATTCCAGCGCCATGTCCCGCTGCTATCCTTTATTGATGATGTCCCTTAAATAAGCTACTGAAGGTAATGGGGCCCTTTCTGTGTCCAGCTGTCCTTTGTCAACAACAAATTGTTGCTGTTTATTTGTGTTGAATATATGCTATATGGTAATTTATGGCCCTAAATGGTATCTAAAGCCATTTGCACGCAACAAAATATGTATTTTATCAAAGTAATTGTTGATCTCTTATTTTGGCTGCTGATCCCTTATTTTCGAGGCCGCTGGTCCCTTATTTTCAAATCTGTAAGTTGACAGCTATGCACCTCTGGTGTCATCTCCTCTGGACTCTACTCAGTGTGCACCCCTGTCTCTGAAAGGACCTAATTTCTGAACTTTTTAAGAGTCAAGTGGCTGACTGAGGAAAAACTCTTACAAGCAAAAGGAAGCTAAGTCCTCTTGCAAAAATAGGAGACCTAAACCAAGTGTGTGGCCTGCAGACTGCAATGCTGGAACTGACTCTCTGTATCACTCGAACTCAAGACTGATAATCTGAAAGCCTTTCTGAAGTCTGCAAAGAAGAAGAACAGGGCATTTGACTTCACCTAGCAACATCATTGCCTGTTTATGATTGGAATCGTAATTGAATTCCTATTGAACTGTGTGTCATATTGGTGGCATCGGCTGGTTGTGAGTTGTGAAGGCCGCTTCCTGCAAGGCCCTTTCCACCTGGCCTAGGGGGCAGGGCCTAGACTCAGCAGCTCTACTAAAGAGGCTACTGGTGAGATCAGAGGGACATCGCTAGGCCTGACAACAAACCCTAACTATTGGATTCTTTTGTGCCTGCTAAACAGCCGTGTCATGCTTATGATATTTTATTCTCTTGTTTTAAATGTGCATTTTATATTTGACTTTACTTAGCAATGTTGGTTTTTTGCGGGGAGGAATGCTTAAGTTTTTTTGTTTTGTTATTGTTAACTTGTGTTAAATATGTATTCTGTAGTTGACTTCCTTTGTAATGTTTTATTTTGAAATCTTTAATATTTTCGTTTTTTGTTAACTATGTTGCTTTAACTGTATACTCGATATTTGACTTTCTTCAGATTGTTTTATTTCTGTTTTAATATGCTGTAAACTGCTTCGAGATTTTCCTTGAAAATATAAAGTGGTATAGAAATAAAATAAATAACAACAACAACAATAATGTTCATTGAAATGTTGTGTCCAAAGACTGCAGCTGATGGAGAGATCACCCCGTCCCTCAACTTTCTATCAGATTATTTAGATTTGGTAAATAATTCTTATTGCTGTTCTTATTGTATTGATTATTATAATTGATTTATGTAGTTCTGATGGTTTAGCTCCCATGAAAATAGAAAGGCAGGATACATCTAATAAAGGACCCTCCTCCTCCTGAGCCTGGGGCCAGGACTGTAGCCTGAGAGAGAGAGGGTTGCACAGTTCCCCAATTATTTTGGAGGAATTTCACACCACACATTTAAAGCTCTTACACCACTTTAAAGAGTCCAGGCTTTCCCTGAAGAATCCTGGGAACTGTAGTTTGCTAAGGGTGCTGAGAGATGTTAGATCTTTAACAAACAGAGGTTCCCAGGATGTGTTGGGTGAATCTGTGACTCTTAGTGCAACGGTTCTTTAAATATGTGGTTGTGACCACTGTCCTCATAACAGTACTGGGGTCCGGATTGCAGTGTGTGTGTGTGTGTGTGTGTGTGTGTGTTGTTGCAGAATGATTTAATCATCTCATTCTCATCCTAGCACATCGTCTTCATTCAACTCTGGCTGTTGAATGAATGTTTTGTTATAATCATTATTAAGTTTAAGTGGGCTTTGGCCTCCTTCCAGACAGCAGCTTGAAAGGGAAACCGAGGAAAACTCAAATGATGGCAGAAGGCAGGGGCATCCAGCAACCAAGACTTTTGGTTTGGATGTGATACTTTTAAAATTCCCCAAGCCATCCAGAAGCCCCAAAGGCTCGGCCCCATTTCACTCTGGTCCATCTGAGTGTCTCCTTTCCACCTATGCCTCCCCTTCCCAAAAAATTTCACAATTAAGAAATCAGAAAACAACCCCCACCTCCCTTTTGACAGAGCTAGATGGAATGATCAGGCATAGCAACTCCTGCAGAGACCAAAATGTTTTAAAGGGACAATTTATCAAAAAATATATCTGCCCATAGCTCAGTCAGTAGAGTGTGAGACTCTTAATCTCAGGGTCGTGGGTTCGAGCCCCACGTTGGGCAAAATATTCCTGCATTGCAGGGGGTTGGACTAGATGACCCTTGTGGTCCCTTCCAACTCTACAATTCCATGATATCCTGTGATTAGTAGTGAACTGAGTTTTACACAGAACGGATGCATCAAAATCAACACATCCATGTAATTTGTGCCCATCAATTTAAATAGGTCTGCTGTGGAAAGGACTAATGTTGACTAATACAACCCTGATGTTTTCTGACTACCATATTTTTCGCCCTATAGTGCGCACTGGCCCATAGGGCGCACCTAGTTTTTTGGGGGGGAAATAAATTTTTAAAAAATTATTTCCGACCCCAGCCCCCAGAACAGGCTGCTATCTGCAAGCCTTGCGAGCCCGGCGGGAAATCCCACCGGGCTTGCAAGGCTTGCGGACATCTGCCCGAAGCCCAGTGCACGCTCCGGAGCACACCCCATGCTTCGGGCTGCAGGCTGCTGCCCGCAAGCCTTGCGAGCCCAGCGGGAAATCCCCCGGGCTCGCAAGGCTTGCGGATAGCTTCCTGAAGCCTGGAGAGCGAGAGGGGTCGGTGCGCACTGACCCCTCTCGCTCTCCAGGCTTCAGTGAAAGCCTGCATTCGCCCCATAGGACGCACACACATTTCCCCTTCATTTTTGGAGGGGAAAAAGTGCGTCCTATAGGGCGAAAAATACAGTATTTTATAAAGCGTTTCCCTCGATACCAAAAAATGGAGGCAGAGACAATTTACTGAATTGCAAAATCACCAAAGCTTTATTGAATGAATGATTTATTACAGTCACAAACCATAATATGGACTTATACAGAGATAGAGAACATGTAGATATATATGTAGGTTAATATTGAAATCTATAAGGTAAAGGTAAAGGGACCCCTGACCATTAGGTCCAGTCGTGGCCGACTCTGGGGTTGCGGCGCTCATCTCATTTTATTGGCCGAGGGAGCCAGCGTACAGCTTCCGGGTTATGTTGCCAGCATGACTAAGCTGCTTCTGACGAACCAGAGCAGCACACAGAAACACCGTTTACCTTCCCGCCGGAGCGGTACCTATTTATCTACTTGCACTTTGACGTGCTTTCGAACTGCTAGGTTGGCAGGAGCAACGGACCGAACAACGGGAGCTCACCCCGTCGCGGGGATGCGAACTGCCGACCTTCTGATCAGCAAGTCCTAGGCTCTGTGGTTTAACCCACAGCGCTACCCGCGTCCTGATCTATAAGCTAGAACACAGTAAATAATACAAATGTAAAACAATTAAAATATGTAGTTTAAGACCTTAACCACTAATTTAAAATATGGATATCAATGCTTTATTATAATTAAGGCAGGTAAAATACTTATTACTCTTAATATTATTCATTGCTATGAGGCTTCTTGAAGCAATTCAGAATACAATCAACATTAGCAGAACACTTTCCTTTACAAGGACAATTTAAAAAGCAACACTTTAAAAGCAATTTAAAAGTACAGTGGTACCTCATGTTACAGAAGCTTCAGGTTACAGACGCTTCAGGTTACAGACTCCACTAACCCAGAAATAGTACCTTGGGTTAAGAACTTTATCTCAGGATGAGAACTGCAATTGTGCTGCGGCAGCAGCAGGAGGCCCCATTAGCTAAAGTGATGCTTCTGGTTAAGAACAGATTCAGGTTAAGAACGGACCTCCAGATCGAATTAAATTCTTACCTTATGCATTATATCTTGCACTGTCCGTTATATAATGATGCAAGAAAGAGATGTTTGGTACCTATAATGACTGGGTCCCCTGGCCAGAACCCCCTTGACATGATGTTATATCTCCTTGCAGACACAGATAAGTATGTGACCTGGCGTGTAGCACTTTTTGCAACTGCTGCTAGGAAAATTAGAGCAAATTATATAGCCGAGGTAGCCATTAACTGTAAAGGAGATGAATTTATTTGATCCTATCTATCTACCTCAGGCTATGCTCTATCTTTGTCACCAAACTCTGAGTATAAATTGCACACTGTATTAATTGATATTGTTTTTAACATTAGTGACCATGTGATGATTTTAGCTTATGAATTTTATTGTTTAATGTTTTTATTTGTACATTGGGGTACTTTTATAGCTTTGTTTAGAGTACGTAATGTTTTAATAATATAAATGTTTTAAGTCTTTTTTTATCAATTCAGTATATTTTCTTTTAATTGTCAAATAATTTTGTGTACATTGCGGCAGCCTTTGGCTATGTGCAATAAAACTGACTGAGACTGAGAATTAAATTCTTAACCTGAGGTACCACTGTAGTATTGCATAGGAAATAATTCTAAAACAACAGCAATGAACACAATTAGCAACAACACACACAATTAAACAGTAAGCAAAAATTGCCGCTCCATAATTGCTGAGCCTCGGAACTTAGACTTCGGTCTTCTGTGCGTAATTGAAATCGACACTAAGCACTATGTCATCTGGAAGAAAATGAAGGAGAAAAGAGATTAATTTATGTCACATTTACTGATTCCCCAAATTTACCTGGTACCCATTAAACCATACAGGGCAGGGGTTCTATTTATGGATCCTGTCTTTGGTGGCAATGACTCCTTCCAAGCCTGCAGTTTGGCCCTGGAGGGAAATAGCCACGTTTGTCCTGTGGCAGGATTTCATAGCCACATGACCCAGGAGGTCTGCCTCAAGCAAGGATACTGCAGCTACTGAGTGGGCCCGCCCTAGTCTGGAAAGTGAGTCCCACATCCCCAGGCTGTGGGTCTTACCTTCTTTGGGGCAGAAGTGAGCCAGCTCCAGAGGGACGAGAACATTCTGTAGAGAAAAGAAAATACAGTACTGGACCAGATGACCAATCTGATACTAAACGCTCCACAAATAATGGGTACAAGAGAACATGGAAGCAGACTCAAGCCAGGGAAGACTTGCTTCCATCATGGGATGAGTGAGTTCTATTGCCTGGCCCCAATCCCTTGCCCCAGGCGACTTCCATGGGTCCTGCAGCCTACTAGGCAGAGGTGGAAGTGTAACACCAAGGAAGAGGCCAGGAAATGTCTCCAGAATTGTCTGGCATCCCAGGGACACACATTGTGCTGTGTGCCTGATACCAGACTGTGGGGATCCTTTCGTAAGCCACTCTGGGAGCCTCTTGGGGCTGTTAAGGTGAGATGTAAGTGTGCCAAAGGAATTAATAAATAAAGGTGAGATACTTACCTTCAGGCGACGGAGCGCCTTAGCATAGGACATCAGCGAGCCAATGCCACTGGCTGCCAGCTGCCTCTCCGCTGCAACTGGACTTTTGGCGTAACCTCTCAGTTCCTGTGGGAGGAAAGAAGACCTCAGAATCGGGCTGGTCTGGGTGAAAGAGACAGACCACTGTGAAGCCCCTTACACGCTCAGAGAGAGATCCATTTCTCACTGTCCTCAGCTGTTCTAAAATGGCAATGTCCTCCAGCCCTAAATTGTAGCTCTGCGTCAAAGGCCCTCCTTTAGCTGTTTGGGCAAGCGGGCCTTTGCTGGCTATTCCATGCGGCCAGCTTGCCTTCCAAGAGGGGAAGGGCCCAAGAGGTGCACTGCTGAGAAAGTGTATGCTAGGTGGCGGCTTTTCCATGAAAGCTTTCTAGGTAAAACAGCCACTGATGCCATCAATATACTTACATTCATCAGCAAGTTCAGGAGCTTAGCGCTTGGGGCTTCCCAGAGGAGGCCTCCTAGCATCAGAGTATAACGTTCGTCCAGCTCCTGTAGACAATGGCAATTTTCATCCACATGGGTCCGTTGAGGGAGGGAGAGGATGTGCCAAGCAGAAGAAAGAGAGATCAGATGTTGAGCAATGGGTGCAATACTTAAAGTGTGTGAAGAAGAAATAACCATAGAAGTCAAATTTCAAAACTAACAACTTACATGTCTGTCGGCCTCAGTTTTCACCTCAACGACAGCCGCAAAGGCTGCATGCACAATCAGGCTGTGGAGCTTCAGTGGCAATTTGGGCTTCATGAGGCTGGAGAGATGGACGGAAAAGTTTTTAGACTCTGTCTCCTTGGAGTCTTCCTCATATTGAGGGGGGGGGCATCAAATACATTACATTCTCTTGAACTTCTAGTGAATGCATGTGTTAGCTTAAACCACTTTTTACAATCAAGCAGTGTATAAATTTTACAGGATAAAATGAATAAAGGTAAAATTAAAATAAACATACGGGGGCACTGTTTATGTGGCAGTCTACCTGGCACTTTGTATGCAAGCCTCTAGGTCTTAGTTAATTTTCTCTCTCACATCTCCTCCACTCATACTGTAAATAGTTGCTGCATAAATAAAGCTTTTTGAACGCAAAAAACTCAAGAAATTGTAAGCAATTATTCCAATCTAATTCCAATCTAAGTGGCAAGGTCTGGTAACACCTTTCCACATTCTGCCCCCCCCCCCCTGCTCAGCTCGTTGTCAAGCTCAAAGAACCCAGCGTACCTCAGTTGGTAAAGAGCCTCCAGTGCCATAGCAAGAACCAATTCAGGGTGCGTAAAGCACGGAATCCGTCCCATGATTTCCTGATAGAGAACAGAGGGCAGAGCGGGGGAAAGTCAGTTCCCTATGGACATCAGCTGGATTCTTCCAACCCCAAACTCAGGGCAGGAATTGGCAATTTAATGCCAAATGCCTGCCCAACCCTTCTCTTGGCCAGACCCCGCTAAGCCTTCCTTCTGCCCAACATCCCCCAAATCCCGCCCCAGCTCTCCTGCCCACCTCACCCCTGGATACCTCATGCAACCTGTCACTTACCGCAATTGACTTGACGGCCAGATTTTTTGAGTACCTCAACGTGTCCTTTTCTCTCATGCGGGCCTCCGAGCAAGTGGCCAGCACGCAAGAGAGGAACGACTCATCCTTCTCCTGTTGCTGAAAAGGCAAGAGTAAGGCTGTCAATTCATGGCGGGAGGGCTTCTCTGCATCTGAGACCGCCTAAATGGGGGTATAAACAGCATTGGTGGATGGGGGTGGGTGGGTGAGGGATTTAGTATATACTGTGCTGTTTTCTCAAATACTAACCGCACGTGATACCACAGGCCTGACAGTCACTGAATCATCTGCAACAAGAGAAGAAGGAAAGGACGTGGGGACACGTTAGTTCATTTCTACTTATTTTCCACAGTTGAGTATTAAAGCATTAAGGCCACTCCTCCTTATGCTCCAAAATGAAAATGAAGCATTTGTTCACCTGGGCGCACAGCAGCCCTGGACTTCTGGGGCTCAGTCCTCTCCCCGAATATCATGTCCCTCAGTCTCCTGAACCTAGAAGAGAAGGAGAGGAGCAGACGTTGTTGTTGCTGTTGCGTGTCCAGGACCCCCAAGACACCCCTGAATAAAAACACGGTTCACACATCATTTTTGTTTTGGTTTTTGGCATAATTTTGGCCACAACGTTATTGAATTACAGTAAGTGAGTAGTTGCTTAGGCATTGGTTAGCGACTATCTGTTCCCACTTGGAGGTAGGAACAGAACTGACAACCACACCTGTACGGAAGTCAGTAATGGTAAACAATTTTGGGGAAAGAATAAAGCTGGGAGCCAGGCTCACACCTCTCCCCAAATGCTCCCTGGGGCCCTAGCCCTTTGTCAGGGATACAGACAAAAGCATGGCGAGCCCCTGGATTCCTTTAACGGAATACCCTTGCTGCAGCAGCATTGGAGGGGCAGGCACAGCCAACCTCATCCCCTCCACCAACCAAAAAATTAACAAATGAACAGCCACACCCTAGGCCAACCCCAACCTCTCTCATCACCAAAGAAACACAAATGAACAGCACGAGCAACGCTGACACCAAACCCTACATACATTAAGCAAAATAGAAACATCGCCACCTGACCCCCCCATCTCCCCCCCTTCCCCCCAATGTCTCAACAAATGAAACTGATTTGCAAAAATGTTACATGGAAAAAATACAAGAGACATTACACATACTTCTGTAAAACAAGAAAATCTTTAATAAAAAACCAAAACAAAAATACCCCAATGCCTAACTGCAACCTTACAAGTTGTGACGATTTGCTACGCAGTAGGCAAACCCAAATGGCCCCAGCCAATCAGCCAAATAGTAAAATTCCTACCAGGCCCCTGCTCCAAAGCAGATGACCCGATGACAGGCATAGAAAGATCAACGCAAACAAACCCTAATTAAAGGGACGGTGGGCGGGTAATCCGATGTGCACAGCGAAAAGAGGAAGTTCAACGCTGTGCACAGGGACCTATATAGCACCCCCATCAATCAAATAAAATTGCAACCATCAATTTTCCCAAGCAACATTGGGGGGGCCCAATCAAATTTGTGGCCATCCAAACTAACCCGCCCAGCAACAGGGGATGTTATGGTTGCTCCCACCGCAACATATGCTCTCCATGAAGGAGAACCCGCTTTGTTATACCGCCCTATACCAGCAGGTCTCAGTTAAAACCAGTGCTTTTTTTCTTGGGGATGCAGGGGTACGCATACCTCTAAACATTTTTTGAATCTTTGCATTTACTGTACTGCATTTATTTCCCCCGATTTGAACTATAAAATGGTGATTTTCTTGAGTCAAAATGAGATTACCCCTAAACATTTTTTTTTTAGAAAAAAAGCACTGGTTGCAATATAAAAATCACAATATAAAAACACAAAATGCATAATAAAGGTTAAAAACAACCCAGTAAACCCCCCTCCCCAACATATCTCAAAAGCTGAGACAGAAGCCTACAACCAAAATGGTGTGTGTGTGTGTGTGTAAGAGAAGACGGAGTCTTTGCAGCGTAGCAATAACACAAACACGCTACTTCGGCTGCAGGACATCGTATCAACAAGGAAATTTGGTGTTGTTGCATCTCCTCGGGTATTTGTTGATTTGTTACCACGAGGAGTTGTTGTTGTGGAGGTATAGTTTGACGAGGTTTCTGGTTATTTGTACCCTAGGTGCCCACTCACGCACAAAAACAAATCTCACTGCAGCCAACCAAAGACCACCACCAACACCCTAGGTCACCCCCCCCCCCAACCTCGCACCACCAAGGAAATGCAACAAGTGAATAATAAGTGAACCCACACATACACAAAGTAGAAGAGAAGCATTGCCACCCGACCCCCCCTCTCCCCCTCTCCCCCCCTCTTTTCTTCCTAACCTAACACTGCAGGCAACACTAATGTCTCACAACAAATCCGTAGAATTGATCCGTAGAAAACACAACTTGAAAAAAGAGACAATGCCCTTTTTTTTGGTAAAATATTCACAACCAAGGAAATGCAACAAGTGAATAGTAAGTGAACCCACAAATACACTAAGCAGAATAGAAGCATTGCCACCCGACCCCCCCTCTCCCCCTCTCCCCCCCTCTTTTCTTCCTAACCTAACACTGCAGGCAACACTAATGTCTCACAACAAATCCGTAGAATTGATCCGTAGAAAACACAACTTGAAAAAAGAGACAATGCCCTTTTTTTTGGTAAAATATTCACAACCAAGGAAATGCAACAAGTGAATAGTAAGTGAACCCACAAATACACTAAGCAGAATAGAAGCATTGCCACCCGACCCCCCCTCTTCCCCCGACCCCCTTTTCTTCCAAACCTAACACTGCAGGCAACACTAATGTCTCACAACAAATGAAACTGATCCGTAGAAAACACAGCTTGAAAAAAGAGACAATGCATTTAACAAAAAAAACACCTAAGAAATCTTTATTATTATTTTAAAAACCAACAAGGAAAGGAGCAAGAAGGAGTTATCCAAGATGATCATGGACTTGGAGAGAAAGGAGAGAGAGGGAGAGCTTTGAATCATCTGATTTCAGAACGCTGGTGGGAACTTAATCAGTTTCTGAAATTTGCAGGCACCTGATGCTCAAAGGACACGTAGCCTGCCGGGCTGGGAAGCAGATTACACCAATTGTTGGAGGAGAAAAACAGCATCTTTTACCATTACCGAACATCGCTATATAGAGCTTCCATGAACAGAGGCACTCTACCTCTGGAGCCAACTGCTAGAGGACAAGCCGCAGGAGCGGGCTACCGCTTGTGAGTTTTACAGGACACATCTGTTTGAACTAGATGGTCTTTCCCTCTGAGCCAGGGCTCTCTCCGTGTTTTTTATGCACCCACAGACCCCAAAGGGCTCTCCACAGGAACACAGTAGTGCACCTCATGTTTGGGGGGGGATTCCAACACTCCCCACCACCACCCCACCACCCCCGGCAAAGCAAAGAGAAGGGAAACATTTCCCGCGTTTAAAAGAACCCTCAGCATAATGCTTTTAGGAAAACCCTGCCCAGCCTGGAGAACTAAGGGGGCTTCTAGGAGGGTCGTCAAAGCATCAAGGCATTAGACGAGCCGAAGAATGCGATTAAAACTCTCTTAGTGCCAGAGTGACTGACAGGAAGACTGACAGAGCGTCCGAAGAGTTGAGAAACGGAGAAGGGGTAGAGCGAGGGCGGGGGGTGTATAGTGGTTAGAATTCTGGACTAGGAGATCCGAGCGCAAATCCCCACTCAGTCACGAAGTGCGCTGTTTGATATTGGGTCCAGTCACTCCCATCCTAGCCTGCCGAACAGGTTTGTTGTGAGGGGGGAAACAGGGGGAAAGGCAAGCCATAAAGACCACCTTAAACTGCTTGGATGCAAAGTGGGCTATGAATGTAATAAAAAGCATCCAAAAAATAATAATCATGGAAGGTACCCTGGGGATCATCTAGTTCAACCCCCTTCAATGCAGGAATATGCAGCTGTACCTTATGGGTATCGAACCTGCATCCTTGGCGCTAACGGCAGCTCACTCTAAGCAGAGGAGCTACAATGAGGGAGGGAGGGAGAATGGGACGGCAGGGAGGGGGGGGGCGCGCGAAGAGAAGTTAAGCTCTTCGGGAAAATGTTAAATTCCATGGGGATGCTGGCCGTGTGGGGGACCCCAAGCCCTCGCTCCAGAAGACTAAAAAGAAGAGGCAGAAGAAATCCTACTTACATATTGACGATGCTGGCCATCTCTTCAGGTAAAATCCCCTCCGGTTTAAAATAAACTCCTTAAAAATCCTCACGCAACAGTAACTCCGAACCTTGCCTCTAACCCTACTGCTACTCCTCTCTGTCTAAAATGTCCAGGAAAATATGTGCATAAAATATCCAAATGAAAAATGAAATGATAAAGTTGAAGCAAATAAAATAAAAGTTGAAGCAAATAAAAGAAAAGTCTACACCTATCTCCCCTGTTGGCCGCTCGCTCTCTCGCTCCGTAGCTAGCAAGATCGCTTGCTCCTCCGTCCCACTTCTATCTCAGCCAACTCCTCCCAACTAACTCGCGAAGGAGATGTGGAACTGCTGTCTTTTATGCAAGCAGCAATAGATGTCACAGAGATGGGCAGGACACTGTTTCCATGGCAACCCACCCACCTTGACCCTGAACAAATCTCCCCCCTCTTTAGTTCCGATGTTTTCTCCCTCACTTTGGGACACTTGCTGTTTGCAGCTTTACAGATCCCTTTTTATCACAAACCAGCTCATACATTTTCTTGCAACTTTTCTAAACATTTTTTGAAATATAGTAGAGAACTCATGCCTCCTGATCCTAGTGAGGACTTGCTTTGCATGCAGGAGATCCCAGGTTCACTCCAGGCTCTCCACCAGACAGGGCTGGAAATACCCCCTGTTTGAAAACCCTGCAGAGCTGCTGCCAGTCAGTGTAGGCAGTGCTAGGCTAGATTGACTCTGTAAAGTGCAACTTCCCAAGAATGCTCCTCTTATACTTTTATCAAAACACAAGCAAGTTACCTTATCAACAAGTTGTGAGAGTTCATTCATGACTTTTAACAAACAGCATAAACAATTTTATTATTTTTATGTAAGTACAGAAATCCTGAATATTAAAGGAAGGAAACTTTCCGCCTCTGCAATAAAGGCAGTTGCACTGCCAGTTGAGCTGTCCCGATGTCAGTTGAAACAGACCCTCCAAAGTTTCAAAGGTGAAAAGGGAATTTTGAGCATCTGAACACAACTGTGCCATCTTCTGCATTAACGTGAAGTGCAGAAAGTTGCAAAACCTGGCATCGGACTTCCTGTTTCAAAGGTGAAAAGGGGATTTTGAGCATCTGAGCACAACTGGGCTGTCTTCTGAGTTAACGTGAAGTGCAGAAAGTTATTTTCTTGAGCAGGGGTAGGCAACCTAAGGCCTGGGGGCCGGATCCGGCCCAATCGCCTTCTAAATCCGGTCCGTGGATGGTCAGGGAATCAGTGTGTTTTTACATGGGTAGAATGTGTCCTTTTATTTAAAATGCATCTCTGGGTTATTTGTGGGGCATAGGAATTAGTTCATTCCTCCCCCCTCCAAAATATAGTCCGCCCCCCCCAAGGTCTGAGGGACAGTGGACCAGCCCCCTGCTGAAAACGTTTGCTGACCCCTGACTTACATTCTAAGCTTCATGAGTGCAACTTATGCACAAGGTTTAGACATAGGAATATGCCTTACGCTGCATCAGACCATTGTGAAAATCCAACTTAGCACTGACTACATTGACTCACTGGCGGAGGAAGAGGAGTGTGGGGGGAGCGCACCGCCCCCGGCAGTGCGATCCTGGTGGGGTTTCATGACGGCTGTCCCCCCCACCGCCTGCACTGGGTGCCCCGCCCCCGCGGGCAACGTGCCCCGCCCCCAGGACGCATGCCCTGCACCCTTGGGGGGCATTTGTGGGGCATAGGAATTAGTTCATTCCCCCCCCCAAAAAAAAATATACAGTCGTACCTCGGGTTAAGAACTTAATTTGTTCCGGAGGTCTGTTCCTAACCTGAAACTGTTCTTAACCTGAAGCACCACTTCAGGTTAACCTGAAGCACCACCTGAGGTACCACTGTAGTCTGCCCCCCCCCCCCACGGCTGAAAAAGGTTGCTGACCTCTGGCCTTGAGCCTCCTCAGTCTTCAGGACTGGCAGAGGGGCTGTGCATTTCAGGGTACCAGCCAAGGCCCGTGCCCCAATATTTATTGCTGATTCTATTGAATCCATCAGTATATTGTTGTGAAGTGACCTGGCATTTTTAATGAGGTGCAATATAGGCTCGCCTTACATCTTTACAGTGGTACCTCAGGTTAAGTACTTAATTTGTTCCACAGATCCATTCTTAACCTGAAACTGTTCTTAACCTGAAGCACCACTTTAGCTAATGGGGCCTCCTGCTGCTGCCACGCCGCCGGAGCCTGATTTCTGTTCTTATCCTGAAGCAAAGTTCTTAACTTGAAGCACTATTTCTGGGTTAGCGGAGTGTGTAACCTGAAGCATATGTAACCTGAAGCGTATGTAACCCGAGGTACCACTGTATTATTATTATTATTAACAATAACAATAATAACAATAATAATAATACAGTGGTACCTCAGGTTACAGACGCTTCAGGTTACAGACACTTCAGGTTATACTCCGCTAACCCAGAAATACAGTCATACCTCGGGTTACGGATGCTTCAGGTTGTGTTTTTTTGGGTTGCGCACCGCCGAAACCCAGAAGTACAGGAACGGGTTACATCTGGGTTTCAGTGGTTGCGCATGCGCAGAAGTGCCAGGTCGCAACCCGTGCGTGCACAGACACGCCGCTGCGAGTTTTGGCTGCCGCAGGTTGCGAATGTGCATCCCGCACAGATCATGTTCGCAACCTGAGCATCCACTGTAGTACCTTGGGTTAAGAATTTTGCTTCAGGATGAGAACAGAAATTGTGCGGCGGCGGAGCAGCGGCAGCAGGAGGCCCCATTAGCTAAAGTGGTACTTCAGGTTAAGAACAGTTTCAGGTTAAGAACGGACCTCCGGAACGAATTAAGTTCTTGACCCGAGGTACCACTGTAAATTGCACAGAAGAATTCCATGTTGCCTGTGGGAGCGGCTGGGTAGAACTCTTTGCAGCTGCATGATCCATGCATTTGATCTATAACCAACTGGTAAAGCTTCTTAATTGGTTCTGGCTTCATGTAGGAGATTGAATGCATTCTTCTATTTCTTCAACCCTGTCTTCCACCCCCACCCCCCTCCTCCTATACTTGAATGATGCTGACTACTCATCTCCAAAGAGTGAAATGTTTATGAGTACTGCAGATCTAGTCTCAGATGTCAAACCTTTCCCCAGACAGTGTGCTTAACTGAATAACCCTGAAAGACAGGGGAGAATGTGACCCTTTAGATTGGACATTTATTTTGACTAATATGTGCTTTTCATTCACACTCCCTTCTCATACAATTTTTGCTGCACGGCAGAATTCCATTGCTTCTTGTTTGGGGTAGCACAGATTAGGCAAGTTTTATTTTAAAGACCGACAGAATCAAATCTCTCCTGGACCTCTAGGTTTTTGTAAATAGTTGCTTTCATATTGGCTTCTGAAGTGAAAAAATGTTTTTAGTGCTCAGTTTGTGTGTGAAGAGGCATATTGTTTGAAAATCTGCTCCCCCCCCTTCCCCTTCCCTGTCCTTTTTCATTTTTGTGTGTTGTGTTGTTAACACTGTAAGATTCCAGCAGGTACTATATTGTTTTACTTGACAGTATGCAAGCCAGTCTAGGAGCCTTCTTTGGCTGACAAGCAGGCTCCAAATGCTCCAAATAAGAAAATAAAATATATAAATACCAATTCGCTTATCGATCTTATTTCAAGAGGCAGCAAGAGACTCCTTCTTGGGGTACGCACTTTAATAGTGAGGTTCTGACGGTGCTGGTTCATCTTAACACAGAACTCAACAATGCAGCCTTGGCAAAATATAAGCAGCTCATTAGCAAGGGTACTGGAGATTATCATGGTTTGTAGCAGATTTGGGAAACGGACCTGCAACTGCAAATCGATTTGTGCAAGTGGGATCAAACTCGGACCAAAAAGCTCTGTTGAAAACAATACCAGCCAGGATTCATGAGGCTATGCTTAATGTTCTCCTGACACGGCATCGGACAGGACTTTGGCTGTAGAGTCTGGATTTCTGCTCTTGGGTCTTTAGTATATTATCTGCTATCAAAGTCGTGTCTTACAGACACCTTTGTCTCTCCTAAGTGCCTTGCATCCTGATATCAAACAAAAAGCATTAGTATCCACACAAACCCTCACTCTGTGTGTGCTTTTTAAGTAAACCTGTGAGACTGTCTTGTTTTCAAGCCACTTTGTTTTATTCCAAGAGGCAGTAAGGGATGTGCACTCAAAGGTTAAGATGATGGTGATGATGATGATGATAGAATTTATATATCCCCAGTTAAACCAAAGACTGTGCATAGATAAGAAAGAAGGTATCGCAAAAGAAACATCTAAATTTGAAAAAGCGTTAACCCATAATAAAGGAAAACACATATCACGAATTTATGACTATTTATTAGAATGGGAAGTAAAAGAAGAACAAGTTAAAAGTTGTAATGGTAAGATTTGGGATACAATATTTACATGGAACAATGGGAAAGATTATGGAGGACAGATATAAAATTCACGGCATGCTATAACCTCAGAGAAAATACCATGAAGATGTTATACAGATGGCATCACACTCCTCTAAAACTTGCAAAAATGTATAAAGGCAGATCGCCAATATGTTGGAGATGTAAAAAAGATACAGAATCATATTTCTATATGTGGTGGAACTGCGAAGCTATCCGTGAATTTTGGAATAACATTTATAGTGAATTAAAAACCTATTCAAACTTACATTTCAAAAAGGACCAGAAATTTTTCTGTTAGGTATATTACCAATGGAAATAAAAATATATATATAAGACCATTGTTTATGTATGCAATCACGGCAGCCAGAATAATAGTGGCAAGAAATTGGAAGAATGAAATCTTACCAACGATTACAGAGTGGCAAACTCTTATGATAGAATACCTGCAACTAGCAAAACTGACTGGAAAAATTAAAGGAGTGTCAAACCAGAAGATATATAGGGAATGGAAAATATTTAAGGAATATTTAAAAATGTATTGTACGAACAATAAGATACTTGCAGAAATAGAGTGATACTGGTGACCAAGAATTACATAAAATATAATAGTGGATTATATATACATACACAAGACAAAATAATAGGAATCTGTGCAAGGAATACAGATAATAAAAGTAGTATAATGAGAACTATTGGAAGTTATATATTTTAATCTGTCATGTAAGTGTAATATATTGTATTTGTTTACGTTTGTTCCTTTATCTTTTCTTATTTCATTGTTTCTATTCATTTGTATCATTTTCTGTTTTATATGTTATGTAACCCATGTATATTTGTCTATGTGAAAATTAATAAATATTTTCTTTTAAAAAAAAAAAGAATTTCTGTATCCCAACCTTCCTCCTGAA